CGCAACAAACAACAACGCAAAACATAAAAAAAAGCACACAACTCAAGCATCGACAACGAAAAAAATCCAGTTCTCAAGATGAAAGTCATGGACCGTTAAGACAATGGAAAGACCGTCAGAGAGACGAAGAAGCTGAGGAAGAGGATGAAGAAACAAAATGCACGTCGGAGGTCCAGGAGGGGAAACAAAGGCAAGAGAGGGACTTGAAATTTGTGGTCTTAAAAGAAGAACAGCAGAACGACTGATCCAATAAATACAAAGGAAGAGGAGGGACACGAGTCTCAGAGTGCGATATATGATTCTGAGTGTGTGTGGTTCAGCCTGCGCTGGGATGGGGGTTCAGGGCGGTGAGGGCGAGGGGTCTCTCAGACACAATCAGCATTTCGAGAAGGTCTGCTTGATCTCATCCAGCACATTCCCCAGCAGCGATGGCTCGTCGCACTTGGCGTCGATGGAGACCGTCTGATCAGACTGGATGAAAGAGAAACGTAGGGTTTTAACCAATCATCTTCGGAATCAGAATCATTACGAATCAGTTCATATTCCAGATACTCACGGTTTTGACCAGCAAACAGACGTGGTGACCCTGGATCGACCTGCTATACATGGAGGCGCAGGAGTCAATCCTCTCCACAACTGCAAACACAGGAAACAAGAGAAGAACAGATTTAAGGGTGTCCATATTTTGAAAGGTATCACAGACATCTTTGTGAAGTCGGCGCACCGGAGAAGTGATGGTGGAAGCAGATCCTGGCCAGCAGGTGGTGGAAGGGCATGTTGATGCCCTCTAGCCGTAGAGAGCTGCCCTTCAGGTCGCCCGACTCCAGCAGCTTTGCGTATGCGTCACTGACAACACAAGGTATGAACGGCTCAGCTACATCAAATACAGTACAGTCTTTGATTTAGTTTTAAACAATTAACAACAGCCCTAATATAAATAACAAATATTTTCATCATCCACACCCAAATTAAAAAATACAAATAAATATTTAATAGTTAATATAACACTTTGTTTTGGGAAATATGGGGTGGAGAAAAATAAATAAATCAGAAACACGTAAAATTGTGATTTTTTTATTTTTTAGAAAAGCTCCAGGTTTGCCCAAAGTTTGAGAATATGTATCAAAATTACTATAAAAATAATAATAATTATTATTTTAATTATATTAGAATTATTATAGAATTTATTATATTATTATTTATATTAGTACTACTACCAAATAAAAATGTACTACAAATGCTATTAAATATTATTAGCATTTAAAAAATAATTTTATATTACAGTACAACTAAATTACAATACTAATATTTATGGCTGTCTTTACTGATTCAATAAATGCTCTATTTTATTTGGGGAAAATGTGGGAGAGGGGAAATTATAATAAGACATTTGGGCTGTTACCAAGCAAATGAAATCAGTATCAACATAATTCATCTTTACAATGCAGAGGAAACACAGAAGCTGCATCTGAAATGGCATTTAGATGTGCTTACACAGTTTAATGCAGCACATAAATGCAGTTACAAATGCATAAATAATGTTCTGATATATTAAACATTAAAACGTTGAATATATTTGAAATTATTTAATAAAAAAGATACTTTGAATGTGAAATTAAAACCGCCAGTAGGTGGCAGCAAGTCACTGTTAATAAGTGAGTCATTGCGATTGAACCGAATCGAACGAAACCATGTTGCTCAGAAACACAAAACAGCTTTGTGGCTGTTTTTGGAATTATTTTTGTTGGCGAAATTGTGCAAAAACAGGAAATATAGTGTCTAAAACACAAGTCTCTTAATTAACTTCTTGTTTATTGAACTGCTGTAAAAAAAAAATCAATATCACATTTGTAATCATGGTCATTTTTGGAGAAAAAACAGCACTCGTCAATTCAAAAGCCCTCCTGTGACCCATGGTTTGTCTGTATGTGTATTCAGAGCCAGTGAGCAACGGACTTTCATAATAATAACAAAACTGCGATAACGCGCGATAAAATAATTGTCGGCGTTAATCAATTAATGTGTTAACGCAATAACGTGTTAACTTGCCCAGCCCTAGTATAAATACATACATTTTCTGCCCCCACGTCTTGAATTTGTGATCATTCTAAATGTATTTTAATAGACTGAATCATGCAGTGACAGAACGCACTCTAAATGCGCTTCACGTAATGTATGCGTGCACTCTGTAGGTGTTTTGAATGGTTTTTGCAAAATACTTGATAATGTCAAATCGCACATCGTTAAAACAACAATTACAATATTATCGTAGACGATATATATAGCACACCCCTAAATGGACGTTTTGAAAATTTCAGTACCGACTGGGACCGAAGTCACTACTTTAAATATTTTAATATATAAGAACACTCCACATACACATATACAGCGCTCCACGTGTTTGGTAATGTGGTAATGTGTTGCTCACCTGTAACAGGGAGTGGTGATCAGGTATGACGTGCATGTAAAGTGCAGTTTGAAGTCCAGTTTCTCATGAGTAGAGGATTCATCCGACTGCATCAGAAAACAATCAATACACACGGCAACAATACTAACACTCACACTGGAAACATACAGAAAAGCATGTGCTTTCATGAGCGTGTATGGGAGTTTCTCACCTTAACTATAAAGGTGAGGGTTCCCTTTAGTTTCTGAGGCATGACGATACTCTGCACTGAGAACACGAAGCGGGCCTCGTTCGAAACCCCTGGAAAAAGATGTGAAGACATGAGTGAAATCTGCCTAGATCCAGTCAATGGTGCTCTCAGGAGCGTGGCTGTCCTGACCTGGTGGCAGTTGGAAGGGAACGGTGAGGCTGTCGTGAGCTCCGGCTCCCTCCGGCCGCTGCAGCTTGGAGTTGAGGGAATCCAGCACATTGAACTCCATTGACTTCAGGAAGCTGTCGCTCTTATTCTCGAAGATGACCGACACCACAACTTTGCTCTCATCCTGATGGTTGCCCTGGATGTCGTACACCTAGAGAAAAGAAAAGATGTTTTTAATGGAGTAGGAAAGTGTTAGGAGGCCAAAACATGCAGATCACACGACACACGCAACACTTGGATCTCAGCGGTTAAAGCAGGCCAGAAGAAATGGGAATATTACTAGCCCAAAACTAGCCCAGGTCAAAGGGAGTTAATGCCTTTGATATCATTACCATTATCCAAAATGAGGAAAAAATCACATCAGCTTTAAAGGGGTCATCGGATGCCCATTTTCCACAAGTTGATATGATTCTTTAGGGTCTTAATGAAAAGTCTATAACATACTTTGGTTAAAATTTCTCAATGGTAGTGTAAAAAACACCCTTTTTACCCTCTGTTTTCAGCACACCGTTCTAGTCCATGTTGCTTTAAATTAGTGTTGTTTTTGGCGGCCTGTTTTAATTTTAGTTATAACGCGACTAAACGAGACGAAATAACGTTATAACATTTTGTTTCGTCTCGTTTTGGTCAACGAAAATTAAGAGACATTTTAGCATAGTTTTTATTTTGTAAACCACATTTAGTCTCGTTTTTATTCGTTAACGATATTGCATTATACATTTAATTATAGTCATCGTCACATGACTAGCATTTTCGTCTCGTCTCGTTTTCGTCACGTAATAAAGGTTCGTTGACGACGATATTTAGTCATAATTTTCGTTGACGAAAGCAACACTACTTTAAATGCTAATGAGCTCTGCAGACCCCGTCCCTCTCTTCCGTGGGGTGACGAGCTTACTGTAAACTTCAGCCGCGAAACTGGCTAACTAGCACATTATTAGGCGAAAGGCGATTTGCAAAGATTCATAAAAGAACCTTATACTCACTTCTTCTGTAGATGAAGCTGGATCACGAATGATTCGCACGAACAAACGCATTTAGGCAGATCGGGGATCGGAGCATTCCTTTCAAAAACGAAAGTAACGTTAATCCTCTGCGTCTTCAGCGGCTCAGATGTCGGGAGTAAATGACGACTGCT